ACCGCTAGCGAGGGGGGCTGCAAAAATTTCAAGCTTCGAGTTTCAATATCTTCATTCCCCCCCCTTGTCATATTAAATGAACTTTCCCTAATTAAAATAAGCTCGTTTTGATATTCTTACACTCGAATAGTTTGTCAGTCACATACGGGCAAAACACATTTTATTTGCCACTTTAGAAACGTGAAGGGAACTGGGCCGAGTTAACTGTCGCGAAGACTTCTGGGACTGCTCCTAGGGTCAAGGGAAAAAATGACCAATAGCTGACCAGCGCGTCCCAAGTAACGATCTCAGAAACAATTGCGGAAATAATTTCGGCTCCAGTTCCCTTCTCGTGTCTAAAGTAGCGAATCGAGACAGTAATGAGCCAGCAAGAAAAATGATTTTTTCATGCTTTTTTCTAGCCTGTCTCGGGAACCGATGGAACAAAACAGAATAGTCTTCTCAATTTCGTCATGGCCTTTCACACCACATCAATGCGCGCCAAGGAAGCTTTAAGAAGCTTCCGCCGTCGCTCAGGTGCTGGGAGACAAGAAAGAGCAGCATCTGCGACAGTTCCAAGAGTCGAGGTCGATGACGCAGTGGCCGCAACCGATCCAGTGGCAGAAAGGGCTCAAGATGGGCAATCGAATAGTTGGCCAGAAATTTCTGTCGTTAATGCACAAGGAAGAGAAGATGGAAGCACGCTGAACGAAACAGGAGTGGGAGAAGGGACAGTTATAAGGAACGAGGAAGAAGTGACGAGTGACCCGCCGGAACGAGTCTCAGATGAAGCAGAGGAATCCAGTGAAAATATTAGCGAAGTCGAGGAATTGGAGTCCGGGGAAGGAAGTTCGAGCGAAAGGTACGATTGGGTTTCATTTTTTTCATAGTTCTACGTCGGACAAAACTAGATGACCAAACTGGAAAAATACCTATTTTTTCTGTCATCCTGAGTTCCTGACTAAACTAAAAGCCGTTGCTTAATAAATACACGTTCTACCCGGTCCCCTCACACCCGATGTTGCTTTGAATAAGACGAGAAGGGTGGGGCGTCTTTGTTTTGGTTTAACGGCGAAGTATTGTCATGGGTATTATTATTATTATTATTATTATTATTATTTAAGATACATGGAAGTGTTTCAAGAGTTACGTCCGCCGTTGTAGTCATGTTTTGCTTTTCCCACCCATTTGAAAAAAGTATAAACGTTGTGCCTGTCAGTTTCTTGATATTTAGAACATTTATATTAAGTTCCTATTTTGATGGTTCAAAAATGAAAAGAATCTGTTTTCTTGCCTTGTTTTCTGACGGAACTTGATCGATTTTGGCACTAATATGACTAGAAAATAACATAGCTACTTTGAATGCGCTTTGAATGCTCCTGCTAAAACCAAGTTTTACGAAACGGAAATGAGTAACCGAAAACCGAAACGAAGACTGAGTTACCCATGCTGTTTAATGAAGCTTTAACTTATGCTAATATATGTTACAAGAAAAATTTGCAGACTTTCCTGAAGAAACGAATTTGAAATCGTCTTGTTTAACTAAGAAGCTTACATTAATACTTCAGGAGCTTTGTTAAGCCTGGTTTCCCTGGTTCTTAGGATAACCAGGCTAACCAGGAATATCCTTTTTGCATATATGGTGAAGCCTGGTAAACCTGGTTTGACAGCCAGAAAACCTAGTGGCTTGCACTCTGGATAACCCTGGTTTAACCAGGGTTTTCAGGTTTGGTGGAAGGGCATCGTTCTGTGGGTTTGGTTTACATTGCACATTTGTCTTGATCTTTTTCAGGCCCAGTAGTCCAGGTATATGCAGGAGATTCTTGTCGGTGGCCTTCAGGTTCACGATTTCTCTCGTCATCCTGGTCGTTATTGTATTTGTTGGGTTAGCCATTATGGACAGGCATACTAGTTTTAAGACAGACACGTACTTCCCCCTCTCAAAAGTTAGAAAGGTTTTGGAGCCTTTTGGTGAACTTATTTATTATATCAAGCCACCCGAATAGCACTTCCTACTGAAGCTTGCATTCACTCTTTAGTCTTAAAAGTATAAGTTAAAACGAAAATATTTATATCAAGACTAGTTTGTAGAACAATTTGATAATTGAGAATTTATACATATCGGAAAGAGGTATATAATTGTTTGACTCTGAGAAAAAATCTATGACTTACAGTTGCCAGTTGGTAACAATCACCAGCATAGCTGGATATGAGGGACGTTTGTTCGATGAGATTATAGTACATTCATTGGCCCCTGTAGCATGCATTACGTTGTTAAAGCCGTTTGCGTCGATATTTGTCAATACGCCTCATGTTTAAGTTATAACATGGCATACAATTTAGTGTATTGCCCATGAATTGGTATGATTTATGATAAATTATGGAAAACAGTTTAATATATTTATATATTTTATGTAGTTATATATTTTACATGATTCAGTCTTGCAGTGAATGAAGATGATTTGAAAAGGTTAATATAAAAATAATTTACGGTTAAATTCAGTAATTTCATACCAGTAGAGAGAGCTTATTTGAGATTAAGTTTTATGTAATACTATCTTCAGAACAGCAATCCATAAGTTTTAATAGCCATTTATCGCTTCCACATCATGAAGAAAGTTTACATCTTTTTTATACTAGATCTATACATTCTATAATAACATACTTGGCTATGTAGATGTTCCAAGTATTTTCCATTTTACAAATGAGAGCAAGTATTCCACCCCCTGATGTAGTGTCACGAATTTATTAAATAGCCAGTTACTTGTCTTGGATCGTCTGCTCTGTCTTTCTGTGTGCTTGTTCCGAAATTAGCGATGTAGGGCACATGTACAGTCACTTGCATGCACAAAAATCACGGCGGGTTTAATCTCTTTTATCATTCATTCCGAACATTTCGCCCTTTCTGATTGGCTCAAATCCCCCGAATAATTCTTCATAACCAGCTGGCCTTGACCAAATTTGGAAGGTGCGAGTAATATACCATCGATTCGGTAGTATAACAAACTTTACAGGCGTACTTTATCCGCAAGAGAATAGAAAACTTGTGCGCTGGGGTTCTAGAGGAAAAATCTTGAATAATCTTGAGTAACAAAATAAATTCCAAAGTTAACAAGTTACTTGAGGCAAACCCGCCAAAAAGTCTCTCCTTGAGGGAAAACCACAACATCGCAAATATTTAGCTTCCCAGGGCATTGTTATCTCCGAATTCCATTCACCTGTCTCAGTGTCATACCGATCTACAACCCTTCTCTGTTCCAGTGTGACATTTGACCCTCCCACTCCCCCAAAGACGTAAATTTTCTTTCCCACTGTCGCAGCCCCGGCGAAGTACCGTGGCACGTGCATTGAAGCAATGGAATGCCACTGATTAACAACAGTGGAGTAAACTTCACAAGAGGAAAGGGCTACACGAACATTACATTCCCCGCCCACGACAAAGATAGAGGTTTCGAAAGACACTGCGCATGATCCGCCTCTGGCTTGAAGCATAGAGGGTATTTCAATCCACGATTCCTCGTCTGGGTCGTACCTCTCGACAGAGTTAAGATATTCTCCGTCTCCAGCCCTCATGCCGCCAATAGCGTACAAAAACCTTCCATCGCTGACTGCACATGTTATTTCACGAGGGGTGGTTAATTGCGGTCCCAGACTCCATGCATCCAGATAAGGGCTGTAAATTTGTAACGTTCCTCTGTTAGCGCGTGACGCACCAATCACGTAAAGACAACTTCTCAACGTTGCAACTGCTGGAAATAAAACTGATTTTAGCATCGGTGGCATTTTAGTCCACGTATTTGTGTTCAAGTTAAACTTCTCAAGAGAATCTGAAATCTGTCCATTCCTTTCTCCCCCTACTGTATACAGCTCCTGTTCTAACTCGGCGAAACCATTCCAGTTAATTTGCTCAGGAAAATGTTGCATTTCAAACCAATTATTTTCCTCAGGCACATAACACCGAATAGAGGATGGCTGAGAATCCAGGCGGGTCTGGGTACCAGTGATGGCAATGACAACGTCAACTGCAGGTTGCAGACATTTCCTTGGTTGCTGAGGCAACGAAGGATCCGACGATGCGGTAATTTTCAAGGAGTTTTCAATCATTTCCAAACAAGATGCCTGTTCTTGTACCAACGCATGACTGATGACAAGCGTTTCTAAGTACGCACGTGACATAGAACACAAACGGACACACAATAAAAGTTGGGGAAAATAAACTTCTCGCTCTTTTCGATTGTGTTCTATCCAAGAGACAATTCTCTCGAACACTATTTCCTCTTTTCCGACAATTATGTTGTCACTTGAAATAATGTCTTTAACTTCATTTGCACCGAGACTAAGAAAATCGTCAGATTGCGTGACTTCTTCAAAGTGTTTCTCGAGGAACAAACGGCTCGCTTGAGCAAGTCGTTCACAGGTATAGCGCCCGGCAAAATCAAGATAAAACAAACAGTTGGACACATTTACTTTTGATTCTAATTCCTGTGAAGCCATTGCTTTCACCTCTGTAATAAGAAAATAATCAGCCAACATCACGATTTCTTCGGCATTAAAGTGCGTGACATCAATGTTGCCCGTGTAAAGATAACTAAGTAATGCCTCTATTGTGCTGGCACGGACTTCAAGCGCCTCCAGATTTATAGTTTCAGCTGTCTTTTCTTTCATATCACTTGTAAAAAGCTTGTAAAAGTAAGGACAACTTACAGCCAGCACATTACGGTGAGCGGGAAATGTAGAGCCTGCGGCGTGTAGCGTCACGTCGCAAAGAAGCTTCTGTTTTCGAAAATCGTCAAGTTTCCTTGTCAAATCTAAGCAGTGCTTATACTGGTCTGTTTCTTTCTTCATTATTCATTGATAATAAATCTCTCGCCAATCCAAAGACCGTTTTACGCCCCAAAACAACTTTGCAAACAACGGAGCTGGACCACCGTTCGTCACGCGAACTCAGAAAAACAATCCCAGAAACTCTTTAGAGCCGTGCTACAAAGACGTTGCTTAACGTTTTCCCAGACTCCTCTGCAGTCGCGTTCTCCGCCATCTTGTTTAATCTTCAGAAATTTGTGTGTGGCATTTTCTACAAAGAAACCAAGAGAACATGGCGTATAAAGGACAGAAAGTTCAGAAAGTTATGGTCCAGCCTATTGTATCCTTTTAAAATCTTTATAGAGAGAATTTAGTTAATGCTAAAGGCAGCAAACCCTTGACGTTCGCTAAGCACGTGCTTTGAGATCAAGCTTCGTTTGGTAAGCTCACATAAAACTTGTGGAACTTAAAAGTAGCTGTAGCAAATAGATCGCTCATGATCTTGAGTTACGTGTTAAGTTTTCAGGAAGTGGGTGGCGATCATTCAAAATTTGAAGTTCATTTGTTTTGGGAGTTGAAAAAACGAAGGTACGCTACAAACAAGCTATAAACATGTTGTCAAACCAACAATTTGTCAAACCAACTTCTGTTTGTATGAAATAAAACAATAGACCCAGGAAAGCATATTACTAGGAATAATCAAAGATTAGCGAGTGAGGAGAGTTCTGAGCTTAAGTTAAGTTGCACTGGGAGGCTAGTAGAGGGAACTTTAAGTAGAATCAAAGAGGCCCTGCCAGGGTAAATTCCGACAAGGGACATGGCCAAAAAAGTAGCGACAGCGCGTAAAATGAAATCATGACAAGAGGCAATCTCCCTCGGCCAAATTACGACAGTGACGGGAAAGCCGACAATAAGCGACAAGCATTATAAACACCGACACGAGACATTTTAAAATTCAGACGGGAGACATGGGACCCCCCCTGGCAGGGCCTCATCAAAGCAAACCCCTTTGAAACCCACAGGGCAAAGTTGGCCGAGGTTCCATAACCTGTTTCCTTGCTAGCAGAGGTCTCTTTTTACTTTGTATTCAGTGAATGATAGCAGCTTGAAAGTGGCCTGTGCTAGCAGGGATATAACATGTGCAACGAAATCATTATTTTGTGTGGTGCCCTCAACTCTAGAAAATTGTTGAGTTGAAAGGTGACAATACTACAGATAAACACACCTCCACAAAATAAAAATGACTGATGAATCCTCTCTGAGCAAGGTTTTGTTGACTTCTTTGAAAAATTTGCTATGCTCCCAGTGATCTCGCTTTACTTATCCTGATCTTGGTCATCCTAAGGGAATGTACCCTTAGGGCTCATCCACATGTAGAAAATGGAAAGAAAACTCTCTGTTTTCAAAAATATTCTCTGTGTGGATGGGGCCTTAGCTGCTTGTTTTTCTTCTTTTTTTAGAAATTTTTGTTTGCATCTTTAATGTTTGTCCTATTATTTTGATGTAAAGCCCTACAGATGCCTAATGAACTCTTTGAAAGAGCAGCTTTGTAAAGGTCATGTATACATTTTCCTTAACTTTCTGTTCCACAGAATTTGATCTTTCGGTACTTGCAAAATGTAAGTATTGTTTAAATAGTAACTGTTATTGTAATAATTTTTCTAGTTTGTTTACTACATCTACCATTACCATTAAAATACAGTGTTGATTTTTATAGATTTGCTAACTTCTTATTATAATAGTGAGTTTATGCAACAGGATGGCAGAAAGAAGAGGGTGGCAAAATGCTTGTGTGTGACAAACGTGACAGGCATGTTACTTATGTGTTTTGTGGTGATCTTCACTTAAGTTAGTGTTTTCTGGTCTGTTAGAAAAAGACCCATTTAATTAAAGGAAGATAAACTTCAGCAGAAACGTTTTTCAAACAAAATTATTGTCACGCTTGTCACACAAGTTTTACCATCTTCTTCCCTCTCTCGTCCTGTTTCATAAGCTCACTAATATTATTTGTTTTCTCAGAGGTCAAGAATTCAGATTTGGCTTTATGAGCAAGTCAACATGAGGATTGAAGGCCATATCATTGTGAGTCACTGAACCACTCAATGGAATGTAACAGTACTACAGTGGAACCCTGTTAATGCGACCACTGTTGGGCCATAAAATCCTGGTCGTAATAACGAGGTGGTCGCATTAACGGGGTCTTCAAAATAATAAACTGAGTCAATTGTTTTTTACGTTTGGTTTGAAAGAATATGGCTGTAATAACGAGGTGGTCTTATAAACGGGGTGGTCGTAAGGCGAGGTTCGACTGTACCAGTATATTTAGGGCCGTTTCCAACAGTCAGAACCAGGCGACTAGATCAGTAATTTTGGAAATGAAAAGCTAGTCTTTTCTCAAAATTTTTACTTAAACCCATCACATCCCTGTTATACCATTTTAAGATAAACTGAACTGGCTGTACAATCCTGATTAATATTCTGTACTATTACTAATACTATTGATATTTATTTTTTAATTTATTATTTAATATTTGCAATATTAATATTTATTTTTAATTTATTGTCGAAAGTATTACCATCTTATTGCCATCTTCCAATTCAAGAGTAAATAAAGATTATTGCAGGGTTGTCAAAATGCGCCGGCGACCAGCGTTATCGACGGCTACTTTGAAAGTTTCGCCAGCTATAAATTGTTGGAGAAAAGCGTAAACATGAACGATTAAAAAAGTTATAAAATAGAAATAGAAAAAGGAATTGTTTCAATCGTGCCCAAATGTTCTTTTTAGTGATTTTTGATGTGATTTCGTAGTAGCCGTAATATGATACCACGAAGGGAAGAAAAATAGCATAAGTTTGTTTACATTGTCTAGCTATCTTTAAATAATCTTTCGCTGAGAATGAAGAAAGAAAGACACACAAAAGCTTTTGAGCATCTGTTTTTTGGAAAATTGTCTGTGTTGACGTTCCATTTTCTATTTTAAAACAACTGTAAAACAAACTTATGGTTTTCACACTCATCCGGCACGCATGTGCATGTGAAATCGAATGAAATGTAATGCGATGCGTACTTGTCTTTTATGAAATTGGCTGACAAAGATAGAAAACATTGGTTTTAAAATATTATCACAGAACCATTTTCTCATTCGTTAAAAATTGTTATCAGCTTGTCATGAAATATGTCCTGGATAACACGTCACATTACATAATCACTTCATCAAAACAACTCTGTGTTGCAATGAATCGAAAACGAATCCTTTTAAGGATTCGTTAAAAATGAATATGCACTGGAAACGGCAGTTTTGAAACTGAAACAAAAATGTGTTTAACGTAGTTTGCTGTGATTAAAATTTGTCAGATGTGTAGAACATCATTTTAGTTTTTTATGAATTGATGCTGATGAAAGAGAAGGGTATGTTACATGTGCAGACAGGATTTGTTATAATATACCCACCACAAAAAGTTGTCTGAAACTTCATTCTTATAGAGAAAATCGCCCATAAGAAAAGCATTTTGCGGCATCAAAGTTTGAATTGCGTATGTGCCGATAACGCAATGCAACTAAAGAAAATAATGATATGTTATCATTATAAAAAATCCTACTGTAAATAGTAAATGTTATTGTTGTAATAAAAAATATATGGAACTAGCATGTACTAGGACATAAGAAAATGGATTAATGATTTTCATTCAAAAACAGATACTTCTCTTGTTAACATTGCTCTCAGCTCAGGAGAGCCAATTTCAGCAACGTGAAAACCTCAAATCTGTTTTGCTTCCGGGGGCTTCTCCCCCTGGACCCCTAACGGGCACTTCCCCTGTACCCCGCTGGGGGCCTCTGGAGGCCAGTGGCAGTTACTTTCTCTTATTCTCCTGCTACTTGAAATCTTTTTGACAACCCTGGTTATTGATTGATTTGATTGATCCTTAACATTGGACTGGTCTGACCAGCCAGTTCTAACAAAAGGTAGGTGCCCTTAGGTTTCCTCTCATAGTGCTTTTACGGAATTGTACAAAACAAAAGACTGTGACAAAAATGGCAACATTATTATAATGCCCTTTGTGTTACGTTCTCATCTATTTTATTGAAATAAAATTTTTCATTTGAATTTTCATCACTTGTAGGGTTTTGATGAGTATATGAATCTTGTGTTGGACGATGCTGAAGAAGTCCATCTAAAGACCAAAAAGAGAAGACCACTTGGTATGTTCATGCATGAGATTAGATACTATTGAAAATTAACTGTAAACTGCCAGACAGACTCAGAGATGTACTGGGTGAGCAGGAAGGTACTTTATTACATGAAATTTTGGCGACACTTTAATTTTGGGAATTTAGGGATTTTTCTTAAAATGGCTAAATTAAAATGCTCCAAAATTACGTGTTACTAAAATAAGGTGAGTACAATATGTTATACTACTACATGAGAAATTTCTGCAATTTGATTGGCTTAGAGCAGTGGTATTTCAGCTTAATTTGAAATACCTACATGTGAAAATTACAAACCTTGCGGGTAGTAGTATAAACAAATAATAACATGATTTGTAGGTGACCTTTGGCATAAATACCACTCGTGATATTTCAAAATTGTCTCAAATTTCACTCACCTAATGGCTCGTGAAATTACATATAACAATTTTGAAATATCACTCGTGGTATTTATGCCAAATATCACTACAAATCATGCTATTACCTATACAAATCCAACCATCTGGTCAGTTTCACACTCATATGCTATTTGATGGTCAATTATGATGTGTATCATTGCTATAAGTGCTTTATTACCTTCATTTCTCTCAAGGCTTAAACTGTGTTTCTATAGTTTTACAAGTGTCAGTTTCTTTTTATTATGTACGATTTCTATATTTTTATTTTTTTTAACAAATCACAATAATTTTACTGTAGTGTGTGTTCCTGTAGTGTTTCCATTATTTGTTTCTTACATTTTTCTATATAAATAATTAGCTTCTAATTAGTAGTAATACATTTTGCATTTTTAAATGAAGATATGATCATCGCAATGGTACTGCAAATTAACCCGCAAAAAATTTCGGGACTTCGGCAGCATTCAACCCATGGCATCTGTGTTAGCTCTGCAGTGCTCTAACCAATTTGGCTGTGAAGACCCATACACTAGGAGCAGGCCAATTTGTTGAGTTCATCTGAACCCGTGTATAGAATGAAACATGAAGATGATGTGAACTGCGGAAATACAAATTTGAAAATGAAGATTTGATTGGCACAGTGGTAACTTCAATTTTAGCAATATATTGCAAATTGAAATCCGGAATTTTTTTTTCCGGGATAATTTGCAATTTCTTAAATTGCAATAATTATTACCACTGTGATGACCATATCTTCATTTAAAATTTGTATTTCTGCAGTAGTTTTTTTTGGGGTGCGTAACCAACATAATGTATATAATAAATTACAATAAATATTTACTGTTCTGGTACAGTGTCCAGGTGATATTGTACCTTTTTCATTTTTAATCTTTACGCTGATTTCCATATTTTTCCATTCTTAAATTTTAGGGAGAATATTATTGAAAGGAGATAACATCACCCTTCTCATGAACACACAACCAAGCTGAAGACTACAAAAACTGTTATTCTCGTAGACTGTTGTATTGACTCCTTGTGGAGTATGTAAAGTTCCCATCATGTTCAGCATGTGGTTCCAGTGAATATCCATAACCACCTCATAATTACAGGTACACTAATTGGAATTGCAAGGTGGGGAGGTCACAAAGGGAAACATTTTTCATGTGAAAGTGTGAAGCCATACTGGTATAAGTGTACTATTCAACCGAGCAGTATATGTGTGTGTGTGTAGGGGAAGGGGGGGTGGAGGTGGGGATTCAAACCGAAAATGGGGAAGTATGGATATCCTCTGGAACAACACATTGTGCCTTCATTTAGTCTGGAGTCTGTATTTAGCAGACCAAGGATATTTTTAGTTAATAAAGCATCTTGTGGTGATTTGCCACATAACTTCAAACCATTTTGAATCTATGTATTTCATTCTTAGGTTGATTTTGTGATAAATGTCAGTCTTTCCATCTTGCCATCCTTGCCTCGTGTCATGATTTAACTCTTGAGTTTGACTATTTCTTGTGATCAAGACCGAAATTTTTAAGTAGGTCTTTAATATTCATATATTTTTTGCTGTAAGTGCTTCCAGCTTCTGTCTTAGACTGATTTTACTTGACCAGTGGAATAGGTAGTAGAATACTACGCACTATTATGCACTAATTCCATTGTTTTCTTTTGTTTATATGTTGCTATTGTTCACTAGTTGTTAGTATCTGTTTCATGGTTCAAGTAAAATCACTCTAAACCATTGAAATAAGCTTTCTTTACAATGTAAAGAAAGTATTAGTATTAGTACAAGTATTAGTTTGTAGGCTGGTAGCAAGATTTTTGGTTTGTTTGTTTTTGATTTTGTTGTTTGTACCTTTGTGTGTCTTTGCTGCAGAAAAAAGTAAGCTGCTGAAATACTGTGTGAAGCAGCTCCAGATAAGTTCCTCTAGAAAGACTTGCTGAGTGTACATAACTCATCAGATTGTTCTTTAGAGAACCTTCAGACATACAGGCTAAGTTTTATTGCATAAAGTAACTTGAATACGTAGATCAGGTAAACTCTGTATTGCTTTAGTTATTATTATTATTACTCCTTTGAATAAAAAGTTGAACTGAAGAATTTATCGACTTGTCCTCACGTCTCACTCATTGTAAAGTGTTTTCATTTGAGATCAACATCTTGTTTCATAATCATCTGCAAAAAAACCATTTCCCTCAAGTCGTCTAGTAATCCTGCTTCCTCAACATAACAAGGCAGAGACCAAGATGTTGTTGGTAATGTTGATGTTAATGATGAATGATGATCTAAGATCTGCATAATTCATCATATCATACCAACTAAGCCAAATTCAATAAAACAACACCAAAATTAAACTGAATGATATCGTTAATTGTCATAGTCATCATCATGTAAGAATCACGTGTGAAATAACAGACAACCCAGGTTATACGGGAGTTCGTTGGAATTTTAATTTAATAAAGAGAAAGTATCAGTACAATCAAAGTACGTTATAAAATCCGCTTTTAGAAAAGGTCCGAATGAAAAATGACACCTTTTGTTTTAGTCGTGTGTTTTACAGTCAGTTCGGTTCTAGATTCATTTCAAAGCCATTTTGGTGAGTATTAGATTTCAAATTGTACTTAGAATATGTAAAAACACAAACAAAAGGTCAGTCACTTTTATTTAGAATCTTTTCAAAAAGCCGAATTTAGGACGTACCCGGTATTTGTTTGTTCTCATACATTCTCTTACTTTTAACAGTCACATTCAAACGAACTCGGGGATCCCATAGAGCCTGGGCTGCCTGTGGTGAAATCTTCCTTTTTCTTCTGCTCTTTACGGCCGAAATAGCTGAGCCACCCCATCACTTTAAGGGTGCGTTCGATTTGGAAATCTGGATTTAGAAATACGGATTTCGGATTTGCAATCGAACGCGAAATCCGAAAACGGATTTTCATTTTTACCGTTCGATTGGGAAATCCGAAAAACGATTTGAAAAACTGTCCTTAAGAACAGCGGTCTGGCACGCGCACCCATAATTAGCAAAACGAAGACCGCTGTTCACGAGAACAGTTTTTCAAATCCTTTTTCGGATTTCCTAATCGAACGGTGAAAAGGAAATCAATGAAATCCGTTTTTGGATTTCTTAATTGAAATCCACCCTGAGGACGGATTTCTCGTTGGATTGCAAAATCCGAAATCCGGATTTCAAAATCTAAATCCGGATTTGCCAATCAAACGCAAACCTAAGTATTTTATGCACTTATCAGCGGCCATCGTGGGAGGTCGACATTAGGGAACCCCGGCGGGCATTTCCACAAAGAATTCGAAGTTTACGAATTAAATCCCCTTCTTCCAAGAACAATCTTTCTCCACAAAAAGCTACCATCGCCCCGACCCCGGCCCCACCTAAATTTCCGACAAATGGCAATTAAAAAGTGAAGCAATTAAATCAAAGGTCAGTGTAAATCTCTTTCTAAAAAACAAATTAAAAGGATGCAAATGGCATGGTTTCAAAATCCGGTAAACAGGAAGCAATTTCGTTGAAACACTCCTTTGACTCCTCTCCGAATGCTTTGTAATGTAATCAGTAATGTCGTGGATTAGGGGACAACAAGACGCGTCCTCTTAACAGTAAGCTCGGACGTCAGCATACAAGGGCGCCACTGGCAGTCGCTATCAGTCCAGTTATGAACTTACTGTAACCCACCCATAGCCCATGATATGACTGATGCGTGACTCGTGAAAGGTAGACCCGGGGAAACTCCCCGTTCTCTTTTCGAACAGTATAAGTGTGGGTTCCGTTGTACGTCCCCTTCGATTTGACTAATAAAAGAAGGATGAAGGAGACAAGGCCAATCATGACTCGATCATCTAAATTGAGATAAGCGGCCAGCAAGACCCTACTTGGTCCGGCCCTAGCCTGCGTGGCAGGCGTTAAAAGGGGAAGGGGAAGGGGGAATTTGGGCGCGCAAGGGGGAAAGGTCTCGCGCCCTAATTCCTTTCCCCTTCCCTCTCGAACGCCTGCCACGCAGGCTAGTCCGGCCCAGGTTTGAACCCACTACCTCCTGCTTGGCAGACCGGTGCTTTCCCAACTGAGCGAGTGACCTTCATGATCCGGTATATCGAAAGGCAACATCTTTCAAATTTGGTCAATGCTTGCAAGTTATAAAGAAGTAAAGGATAGATTAAAACTCATTGGTAGCGGAGAAATTTTTCGATTAAATGATGTTGAATTGACCGTGAGAATTATGGTGATGATGGTGATGGTGATGGCGATAGTGATGGTAAGATGATGCACCTGGTAGGACTCATTTCTGAAACTATGAGGAGTATCTCTGTCACTGAGGAAACACGCACAAAGTCTTAGAAACAAAAAAAATCGGAGAGACTAAGCGGAAAAGGTGTTTGGCGCTTACATCTCTCACGCAAGAGACGAGCAGTTAAAACCCGCAATCTGTCAGGCTACTGCTAGCTTCAGGTCAACAAGCCAGAACAGCGGTAGACAGACGTACCTAATTCATTATAACACGAACATTGTCAAAGTCGAACATTGGCAACTTCTTGGTGTAAAACTATCACCAACTCTCCTTTAAATTTCTAACTTATACGATGCCGTAGATTTTACAGGCCACTTTCATACAAATCAAACTCCAAACATCTCGCGAGCATTCAATGGCTGAAGACAAGTTTATCTGCTTTTACTTCCACTGATTTTCATGCTTCTTTTCACAATAATTACAATACCGAGTTTCCGTTTTACACCCACTCAGCTTTACAAAATCGCATTAACAGACAAACACATATGTGCGCAACTACATTAGTTGTGTTTCTAATTAGCACCCTGATTGAAAACCTAAGTGAGCCTGAAGTGATACTGGTCATACTGATTACCAGCGAAAAGTCCAGTCACGATTTATAGATACACTAGGTTTAGCATTAAAGCACACACGGAAATGTTATCCTTAACTTAACGTTCGTTAGTTCTAACAATTTACGGTGTTTCTTAGACTCACAAGATTTAACTGCGACTTTGTGAATACGTTTGTGTCTCAAACAAAACTTGACAACTGCATCCTCTGTAGTTACGTACATCAATATCGCCTTCCCCTTCAGTCGGTTATGAAATGTGCGAACGCCAAGCTACTAAATCCGAAGGTGGGATCCCTGTTTTACGCTTCTTGTTGTCGGTATCTCGGGAAAAGTAATAGCCACATGTATACTTTCCCAGGGTACTGAAAGGCGCTAATGCGTTCACTTGCCTCATCCACGGCTCAGCCAGAGACTGGACTGGAAAATCGGTTTTTCTCCTGGAATCACGCACGCCAGTGGACTTGTTGGATGTGTTCTCTGTGCGCGCGTTGGTTGCAGTTTTCGTCACCGCTTCCTTGAGGTCATTAGAAATATACCTGGAATACGGCGCTTGCTTCATCAATCCAGGATTGCTCCACACCGCCATTCGACAACAAACGTTAGTTGGCAACCAAACGGATTTAAAATCTTTGCGACAGTGGTTGCATTTCAAGCACTGGCCAATTAACTGCCCCGTATTCGGCATTATGCCTGATTGGGATGCTACCCAACCTGGGCAATGGGTTAAGTTGAATTTGCTGATATAAAGTTCTCGTTTTGTTTAGTCGACTTCGCGGAATATCGCTATCTTTGTTTGTGCTGGTGACGTCGACGCGCGAACGCAAAAGGTAATTAGTTAGCTCCAAAGTGATGTAACAGTCGAGTAAAGTAGCCAATCAAATCATTAGAATGGTGTTTATGAGGATAATTAATAATTAAACGTGATATGATTGCAATGAAAACGATATCACCACCTGCCTTTAAGCTCTCAGAATACCCCAGAAGATTTCAAGCATGAATATATAAACTCACTAAAGGACAATCTTGAACAGCTTAAAATTAACATGAGCAATCTTGAGCTTTGTTTGTGTGACATAAGTCAAGGATTGTATTTGCGTTTTAAGCAGCAATAGAACCATGTGTCAGTGGTCCCTATTGTTTCTTTTGTACTGTAACAGACTATGACTAATCCTTCCCTTGGGAGTTTTTAATCTCTGAAAGCTCAACAGAAAACAAACATTTACTATTCTCACTGCATACATAATTGGCCCGTGAACGCGACATTCTCGTTCCCAGAGCTTCGATCTCCGACGCTGACCAAAAGGATCGAAGCTCTGGGAACGAGATTGGTGACGCGGGAAATAAGTAACTCTTATAAATTCCGTCGTGTTGGGCCTGCGCGCTGGTGGAATGATGCATTGCAGCCCTCGGTTTTTGCCCGCCTCTTGGCCAGTTTATCGGAGTTCAGAGCAAGTGACTTCAAAGTTTTTCCCCTCCCACCCCCCCTGGCGGCGGTTGACGTCGCATACCCTCATTATTCGGCATGCCTATAGGCCATTTCCGAGTTCCAAATCTCACTTTCAAAACGAGGTTAAGTGCGAAACCTTTGTTGTGAAAATGAGTTTTATTTACATCACAATTAAAAATCATTTTCATATCAATGGCTTCGCACTTAGCCTCGCTTTGAAAGTGAGATTTTTTGGAACTCGGAAATGGCCTGTTGCCCTGGAAGTCGCGGTTTCCTCCCACAACTTCCCCGTGTCGGGACAATGGGCCGTGATGCAGTGGGAATATTATACTGCTAAATCCAAAATGCTTTACTTACTGCATGTTATGTTTTCAGAATGACAGTATGGCGCTACCGCTATACTGAAACTGGATGAAAATTAATCGTAAAGTCATTTGCCTGCCTGATCGATTATTTGTTTATTTCCGGGGCGGTTTGTTTCTTCGTTTTGGAAAATTTCCCTAATCCGTTAAAAGGGCCGTAAAAACAGAAAAAGGGGGCCTGTGCCGCTAATCAATGGCATTGCACTTCAGCTAAAAATCCATAAATGATAATTATAAAAGTGAATATTTATAGGATATACTCATTCGCTTGTTTGCTTTGAAACAAAGGTTCTTACTGCTCTTTACGAAAAGATTATTGACGCGATCTTTTCGGTCAGCGGTAGAAAAGGTGATTGAACGAAATCACCTTGACAACGGCGGTAAATTTTGCGGCCATTTTATTTTTACTTGAAGAATCGTACTTGTCGTCTGTTTCCCTCGTTTTTACCGAAAAGTATGCCCGACGGTGAAAAACCTGTGATACCTCCACCTCCCGCGATACATATTGAACAAACTTTGGCGTTAATCAAGCCAGACGCAATCGACAAAAGCGATGAGATCGAAGAAATAATACTTCTTCATGGATTCACCATTTTACAGGTAATGTTTCTCATATCTTAATTCTATCGTGTTGTTTCTTGAGTTAAGTATTCAGTAACACAAAATTATTTACTATTACAACTTTCTAATATCTATAATGTTTCTAACCGTGGTTTTTCCGTAAAAGAACTTGAATTATCTATAAAAAAAATCCTTGCCTTGTAGTAAGTGCAAAAACAAAAACAGATCACCAAATAATCTTTCGGCTATATGCACCACAGTTAATGTACAGATTGAGATTATAGGCTGTTTAACGAAATACAGGCAACAAGTTCACAATTTTGACAGTTTAAATGTAAAATATAATCACCAAAAGCGGAAAAGGCCGCAGACATAGTTGTATATTAAATTTGTACCCATTCAGTTTTAATTGCCAGCTGGAGGCGAACATAAACGTATACTTTTCATCTCTAGCGAAGTTTAGACAAAAATAAAATAAAGCCTGCTGTGATCTTTACTAACAGCATAGCCATACTTGCACATTACCAATATGTACAGACAGTTGCCTGTGAATAAGGAGTGCCCTTCCCCCCCCCTCACCCCCACGTACACACACCCACTTACCAAGTTCACATATGCAGTGGTAAAGATCTGTAGATGAAAAATTTATATCTCTTTTAATTTGTAATACAGTAGAACCCAGGTAACTCACACTCAGTGACTCAAACTCCCCGCTAACTTGAACTTAGTCCCATTTCCTTTGGATTTAACCCCACTTGTCAGTCATTTTTACATGGTGAACTCGAACACAGATAATGAACTCCCAGTTAACTTGAAGTAAATGTCTTTTCCTTTGATCAAAATTTACCTCGATAACTTAAATTCTGGTTGTTTCAACTCACACCCATGCTCGCCCATGTGTTACAGGGTTATACTATAGTATTGTATTTCTTTTAAATTGTGTTGCACCACTTTTTTTATTACTCTGTTTCTTTGTGGAAATACAACTTTATATGTGTTAAATTTGAAATAAAGTTTAAAATGACGCACAGCTTCTCTTTGACAAAATCTTAATAAATTTTGTTACTTAGAAAAGAAGAGTACAAATGACTCCAGAACAGACAAGTGATTTCTATGCTGAACACTATGGAAAGATGTTCTTCCCAAGTCTTGTAGCATACATGAGTAGTGGGCCTGTCTTAGCTCTAGTGTTAGCAAGGCAGTCTGCTATTTCTTACTGGAGACAGTTAATTGGACCAACTAACACACAGAAAGCAAGAGATCAGGCACCAGAAAGGTATTGCAATATTATGACTTGTAGTGTTGTTGCTCTCTTTCGCCATGGAACACTTGAAAAACACATGTACTGTAATTTATTACATACAATGTACACAGGTAACCACATGATGTAAAGTCTAATTTGGAATCAATCAATCAATCAATCTTTATTTGCTCTTTCACATACTAGTTACAGAATAATATAAGATAATTTTATATCTGGGCAGGAGCTCTCAGCAAACCCTTTTGGGCTTTACGAGGAGAGCCCCTGAACAAGTTTACTACAATGATTTCATTATAAATTAACCCAAGTAGTTTTTTTTAAGGAGGTAACAAAATTGCATGAACCCAGGAAGTGTGCATGATTCAGAGCTTTTCAAAAAACTAGAATTACTTTTAATTATCCAAATGAAAATATTGCACATAAAAATCATGTTATGTCTTATTACTGGTAATAATAATATTAGTGAAAAAATTGCTAATAGCTTACAGATATAATTTATGGTCCATAAAGTGAATTGCAATTTCCGAAAACACAAAGTGCAGGAAAATGTATTTAATTCAGTACTGGAAGAAGGAAGTCAAATGCATATTACATTAATTTTTTTTCCTTCCACTTAATTTTTTCCACACGATGGGTGCAGCATTTACCTCTTACAGAGGTAGACGGGTGCAGCATTTACCTCTTACAGAGGTCAATGCTGCACCCATCCCCCATGGTAATCAGTTTTTACAATTGTATTCAAGGACTTGCACAGCCTTTACAATGTATGAGTGACAACTTTACTAAAAACTAATGTTTAGAATTATTTAAAGGTTTCTACACGTACTTTGTTCTCTTTTAGCTTAAGAGCTGTCTATGGTACAGACAGCACCAAAAATGCTCTTCATGGTAGTGACAGCTATTCCAGTGCTGAGAGAGAAATACATTTCTTCTTTCCTGACAGTAAGTGCCATGTATGACATTACCAACACTGCATGTAACAGTTAACAATTTTATTAATGAATGAGGTTAAGTGTCTTATGAAGAATTATGGAGATCTCGGAGGGTGTTATCCACCTCAGCCTACGGCCTCAACAGATGACACCCTCCTCAATCTCCATAATTCTTCATATGATACGAAAGCCGAATTCAATAATTGTTTTATTATTCATTCAAAATAATTCCTAGTTTAGAAACAAAAAAACATGCTTACCTCCATCGATGTTAAGTTCACCTTCGACAGTGCACGTTTAGGGTTGTTTGGCTCCACAAATATTTTCCAATTAGCAGATGTCACCCTTCAAATTGTGTTCTTGCTGTTCTTGCTATGTTTTTAGCTATTATTTCACCTAGTTCTTACCCTTGAAGCGAGTGAAATGTCCACCAGTTTTGTTTTCACAATCAAAACAACTTAACCTCATCCCCAGGTCTTCTCGCTTAACAGTGCATTAACCTGCAAGAATGCTGCGTTTTTTATGTCATTTCCTCGTTAAGCACAAAATTCTTCCAAATTTGGTTATCAGTAACTGGTTATGGTGAATTATGCTTGTGCTTTTAGCCAATCAGAATCGGGGAAATATTTTGAATGAATAGTAATGAATGTTAATATATGAGTTAATGTTGCACCTTTACCAGTTGTAAAAATTTAAAATAATTCATTTAACCATGATTTGTTGAGACTGAGTGTATAAAAATGGTTGACATAATTTGTTGTGATAGAGTGTTTTTCTGTAAGCTTACACTCAGTTTTCTGAAGCTTCAATTGAGTTACATGATTGAGGACCAGAGTCATTTCAGAATAACAGTCATATAGAACTGACCCTCTCATGTAGAAGATTTATCAGGTAGTGCTTGCACCCTACATCATTAAAATATTTTGAAACTCCCATACTGGTACGTCTACCAACGGCCACCTCTGTACAAGGGCTACCTTTGTCTGTCCCGGCGGACATAAAATCCATACATTGACTCTTGTTTAAAACCTCTCTACAACGTCTCCTCTGTCCCCAAGGTGGCTGTTATAGAGAGGTTCAACTGTATTCTTCTTTGTCATATTAATTCAATCATTAATTTGCTCTATGAAAAGTGCACAGCATAGATTCTAACCTGCAGAAAATGTAAACCTTGTAGGTGTTGTGGAACCTGTTGCAACAGGCCAAGCAGCAAAAGACTACCTGACAAGAACAGTAACTCCAACATTACTAAAAGGACTTACAGAACTATGTAAGAAGAAACCAGCCGATCCAATAGTAAGCTGTGATTTTTGTTCTTGATGTATGCAACTATTAATCATAGCCAAATGTGAAAATCTTGCTTCTTAAGCTAGCCTAAGATAATAATCTGTCAATTTTCTTGTGGAAACTTAGAATCTTGGACAAAAAGTGTTAAGAGTTTGGCTCTCTTACCCACAGGATGCCCAAGTGGTGGATTTTGCAACACAGTGACCCCTCCTCCCACCCCACCCTAATCATTGTTTTGTGTGGATAAAGGGGGTAGAAAGTAGAAGTGCTTTAAGAAGCTGTATTCTAAAATTAGAAAACATGGAACGTGCATTTTTCTTGCCCAAGATTGTTATTAATGTACTAAAGTTTTGTTTTATCAACAGATCTGGTTAGCAGACTGGTTAATAGTGAACAATCCCAACAAACCTAGAGTACAGGAAGGAGACTACATTGTTGAAGAGCCAGATGACTGATGTTTTCTATACACCTACGATGTGCATTCAATTCATTTTGTACTGTCTCGTGACTTGTAAATATACCGTAGTTAGGTCATTACCTTTTCGTTTTAAAATAAGAATTTTTCTTCGACCTCATTCAACTAAAAATGTGGGGAAAAGTAATTCTGTTGACTGAAAGGTATTGAGTATACTTTTGAATCTTTCATATGTAGGCGGTCCGGCATATACACATATAACTTTTTTTATGCAACACTGTTACAAGTGTTTTCTCGCAGCACGTATGTAAAGACTAAGGAAAGATGTATATAGCTATATAAAGTGCTCTTTCAACTCAATCTTGCCTTATTCTTATTTTCTTGTTACTGTTAGGAGCAATTTTCTTTTAAATTCAAATGTGTAAAAAACACCTTTAAAAAAATCTCAACAAAATATTGGACATTTGCTAACCATAGTTAATAGATTGGAATGGTTATGAAACCTGTCAGACTCCTTTGTTTTATGTTTTTTGTGGACCTGACGGTGCACAACGTTCAGTAGCATTCCTAGCATTTTGATCTTGTTAACCAATAAAAACGTCCCATTAATTTATTGCGTCACATTTCACCAACAGAAAACAAAGGATTGTGCACCTTCAGGTAGCTTCCAACATAATCTGCAGCAACGTTGTTTTCATTTTTGATGTTTGTTGTCTTTCATAACCAGACGTGATGCCGGCACTAACCAATTCAATTCAATTCAATTCTTTATTCACACTATATAAGATATTTACATAAGTGTACGTAGGTACGAAAATAAAGTAGCTGACAAATATTAATTATTTAAAAGACATTAAGTTCATTTGTGTACGGTGTCCAAAGTAGCAAGATCTTTCTTGTTGGACTCGTGATTATCTTTTTTTTGCATTTCAAATGTGATAAATAAAGTGCAAAACTATGCAATAGAAAATAACGATAAGAAATCTGCTCGTTGAACTAGCACACTGTTTTTCCTTGCATGACAATCAACGAGTAGTGCTTATTCCTTGTACCGAAATTTATCAAAATTCAAACGGGGGCAAGTGCCTCCAAATTGATTGAAACATAAAAACAACAGCTTAAAACACTGAAAGAAGATAAAAATGAAACAGTAAATACAAAAGGAGCCACGGAAAAACAAACTTGAAGAAGATTGAAACGGATGGCAATTGTGGTTTTTAAGAACATGTTGGCCATGATGTCTACTTTGATAACTAAAGTGCAGAACTTTTTGCAATAAAAAAACGACAAGAAATCTTAAATCTGTCAAGATTATTCCGTAGAACTAGCACTCTCAACTGTTACTCTTTGAAGGACTATCAAGTAGTTTTCAAGAATAAAACTTCGGGTCAAAATTTCTTTGTTTAATACTCGTACCGACGGGACGCTGGGGAATTTCACTTTAAAAATCACGTGGGCTAGCTTGTACAGAATTAAGATATATATTATATAAATGTAATTGTAGCAATAGTGCTTAAGCTGGCCAGAACCTCATATCCCGGACAACATGTATGTTCATTGCCAGATATAATAACCTGAGCAGGGAAGTACCCTTAATGCCCGCCTCCCAAATCTTACATAAACCATACGAGAGCCTTATAATCACTTCTACAGTAAACCGCAAATGTCAAGTTGTATCATGTAACCAAGTTTTCCCTTTACCTGTCGTTTACTGTTCATTATATCTACAACTGAAAGATTACCAGTTTCATCCATAAGAATTAGTTGCAGTTGCGCAGTTTTAATGTGCTCATTTCTTGAATTGAGAAATCGTGTACTTGAATCTGATTCTAAACCTCTCTTTTGTTTTGTACCTGAGAGGAGTACATATTCCTCACAGACATATAACGCCCATATATTACGCGCATTTGAAAACAATGACGGGGGGCTAACAGAATGTATTATGGGGAATAAATCTTCAAATGACGTCACGTCCGCCATATTGGTGTGCAAGACCTTAGATAACAATGACCTCAACCAAGTCGTGGTGTCCAGCGGTTGTAGTGAAAACAAGGGTTTGGGTGGGGTGCTTAGTCTAACGGGCTCATAAAACCTGGTCTCGGTCATTCTTATTGACGGATTTTCTATTGGTGTCCCAAAACAATGAAACGGCGGCCATGCTGGTGTCCTCAAACCAGTCCCCTGTAAGAGTTGATCCTTTTTCTTACGTAAAAGCTTTCGTTTTTAGTTTTAGTTTTAGTTTTACAAGCTTTTCTGGACACAGGCCTGCCCAGAGGGAATAGGCACGAACGGGACTCACAGGTCCCATGCAAGGTGCCATCCCTACTCAATCCCACAACCCGTAGAGGTTGGCCACATCACCGGGATCCGCGTCCCCTACTCTTTTCGAACAGTAGTGTGGGTTCTTTTACGTCCCACAAGAACAGATCAGTGAAAGTGTGCTGTGAGACGGGACCTACGGTTTTTCGTCCTTATCCGAGAAGACTAGAAAGTCTAACCATTTGCAGATGTCATTACAAAGGCAGCACCTTCTTCTCAGTTATTTAAAGACCGGTTTGAACCCGCGACCTTCCGCTCAGCAGACCGGTGCTCTCCCAACTGAGTTAACCAGGCGGCGGTTTTCTTTTGCTCCAATATATTTTCATAGCTACTGGCCACGTGAGTAAAAAACGCTCTATCGGCTGATCATTGCTAACTTGATTTGTCTTGTTTCTTTTTGTCTCATGCAATGAACATGAACTCCAGCTTTTCTTACATCAAGCTTACATCAGCAAACATTAAAAAGCATACTTGTGCACGTGGTTAGAAAGAAGAAAACAAATAACAGCAGAGCTGTGTTGCATGATTGTCAATAAAAAGTGTCAGGGCACAATGAACAAGATTTACATAGGACGCAAACGTGAAAGAGGATTGAGAAGGCCGGGCTGCAATAAAACGTTCCCGTCTCCCTCTCCACCTCGCGTTTATTCAACCCTTTCTTTAACACCATGCGAAAGTTTCAAATAAGCTAAGAGGCCATTTTCGACGAGGGTCTTGGGCCTCACGGGCGCTTATTTCAGTGTTTTCAGTTTTGACTAGTCCAGATACATTTCGTTTTTAAAATAACGCACACGTAACGCACCATTCATCGTTTTTGGGACCCATGTTTTCGACTACAAATTAAATCAGTGTTATTACCCATCTTGGACCGCCATCTAGCCCACCTTCAAATTTTCGAGAATGTTTTTCATTTGTGGAATACTGAAATCCAATAGTATACCATTTCAGTCTAAATTGAAACGGAAGAATTTTCAAACTTACTCTGTGGCTCTCAACTTATATGTGAATTCTGCTACCCGGCCTATCTTCCATCGGGTAGGGTAGGTACTGAATTAAATCATCTTGCCATCTTACAGTCACTTGTAGTCTCTCCCTAATAGCAAGGCTCCGCTACCCTCCGAAATTTTTTGGAAAATAATTCAACGCTCTAAATTAATGTAGTCTTGAAAAATTCTTTAATTGTCTCAATAGAGATAATTTTAGACATACTGTAAGTATGTACTATGAAAAATTTGCATACGTTTCAATCTCATCTTGACCTTCAATTTTGTTTTTCATTGTATCGGATCGTCTGATCTTCCGCTTTTCACAGACATGGTTTGTTTTCGTTCAGGTGCATTCATGACGTCCTCGGCATGAATATTTCAATAAAGAGCCTCCTTTGCTTGACTGTAACCCTCGAGCCATCCTCCATAACTTTCGTAAAATCTTGATCAATTAATGAATTGTCTCGCAAATAGCAAAGGTCACTGTCGACAGACGGCCTTCGAAGGATAACTTTCTCTGGTTTGAAGTCTAAATTTACACGCTCGAGTATTGCATTTTAAACAAGATGAAGTATTTTCTCTGTTTAAGATAAGTGGCAAACTTCTTGATCTTGATTCCCTCGTCGTCTCTCGAGCAGACTGAACTGACTCGCGAACTTGTTCTTCAATCTTCAGGGGACCGCAAGACAGAAAATCACAGTGGTGTTCTTCATCGCTCTCAAGTTCACTTGAATCATGCTTAGCCACTGATGTTTTAATACATTCATGTTTTCTTCGGATAAGCTCAGCAGCCGAAGGTATTTTAGGAAGAGACAAGCAAGCGGAAGACAACTCTTCGTCCGTCCTAATGCGATCTTCATTCGCTGGTTTTGTCCTTTTGGGTTTCGCCTCCTTTGGCCGAGTTTTTCCTAATGAACATCTGTAAGGTGTGCTACTCATAATAAGGTTGTTGAAAGCATTCTGTTTAATTTTTTTGTCGAAACAGAAGTGTAAATGCCCATCTTTGTCATGAGTACGAAAAGGGCGAAAGGCAGCCAGTTCCGTAAGTACTTGAGCAGGAAACTTTTCGTGTGAAGACTCACGAGTCATTACCGATACGACACCATATTCTCCTTAAGAATCCTGAATCAAGAATTGTTACTCTGTCTCCTTCACTGCTTGGTCGTGATTGTCGTCCTTATGATCGTGTTTATCCCTTGGTTACGGGTGTGTTTTTAACTAACAATGTTTTCGCGTGTGGTCATGAAATTCGAGCCAAAGTGGAAACCTATTCGTACGTAAGACTCACAAGATCACGCAAATCGGATGACCTTTCGTTGACACAAGGAATATTGATTACAAAGTCTTGCATGACATGACATGACAGCCGAGCAAGGCAAACACTGACAAAAAAGTGCGTGCCTAGTTTCCCTCTACCTTCACTCGGACCGAATCCGAGCCCAAGTTGATCTTACTACTGACGCCAAATTTTTCACTCATGGGCGGTAACTACGTTTAAGTTAAAACCTTTCTGTAACAAAAACAAACCATGGACGGTTTATTTTAATCTTGTAGCTTATAGTTTTGACCTTTAGGTAGATTTTTATACAAAAGGTAAATTGTCAATAAATCCCGCAATTAACATATTTCCGATGTTTGATTAGGTAGCAGCATGTTGAACAAAAAGGCTCATTGATGCATTTTTCACTTTCCCAACAAAAGAAATCAATTAGTTCTTAAGTAATTAATGGTGACTGGTGAGCTATATTGTGAATGTATTTTCTGTTGTTCTTGTTTTGTATTATTCTTCTTGCATGCATTGTTCACCATTCTTGATTTATTTGTTGTTTTTTAGTATCTTTTAAATGAGTATATGTATCTTTACCCTTGAAAGGCATATGTTATGGTCGATAGATCATCAAAAGACCAATGAAGCAAGAAAATTATGTTTGATTTCTTCTTCTTTTTTTCTTGTGCTTGTTTCTTTTTTAGTTATTTAAGATGAGCTTATCAGTTTTTCTAATAAATCTGGGCAAAGCTGGTAAACAGAATAACTCGTGTTCAAATTAAAACGGTCGTCTCTGTTTCATGCGTGAGTTTATGTGATCGAAATTGATAAAAAGTTTTTACAACGTCCTTGGATCTTTATTACGCGTAGTAAATTAAGGGTGAAAGCTCACACCCGGAGTCCTCAGTATTTTGGTCAGCGCTTGGTCGTCGGGGCGTCAAACTGCTGACTCTGCGTAAAATACCGGTACTCTGGGTTTTACGAGTTGCGTCTTACATTATTTTCTGTTCTTTAGGGAAAGCAGAGCGACCATTCGTGAAAACCATCGGCATTTTAAATCTATTAAAAAAAAAAAAAACAAGTAGTTGCCACTCATACAATACAAGAGCATCGGCTTCAGGATATTTTTATGGCTTTGGGGCTAAGCTGTGGAATGAGATATGTACAGTACCGCAAGTGATCCCCAACCGCAAATGATCCCGAGACCGCAAATGATTCCCAAAATGGACCGCAAATGATCCTCGACCGCAAGTGATCCCCAAAGTTGACCGCAAATGATCCCGAAAGAAAAATAGGAATGGCTTAGACTATAGTTAGCGGATCATCGTGTCTATTTTATTATTATAACAAAAAGTAAGATTAAACGCTAAATTTCAGTTCTAAAATAAATACATGAATAAAAACTAAATGAAAACATCATTCAAGTGTAAAAACGTTGTCGGTAGGCAACACACGACTTCATGCCAAAATGCTGCTTGTTCCAATGAATTTTCTCTCTGGCGGGTAGATTATACTTTTGAAGGAAAACGTTTTGCAAATGTGATTTTTGCCGCTTATTTCATACTGAGAGGTCATGACACGCATTTTCGGCAGTTATTGTTGTTTCTGGTCGGCATGATTTGTCCTTTAACGCAAGAGCATTTCCTTTGACCTCTTTTCAAATGCAATGCTTTTCATTGCGACTAAATAAGGGTTTTAGGTTGTTTAATTTTCTTTAAAGTGCCTCATGGATCCGAATAATTATAAGCGACTTTTTTTTAGTCCGTGAATGTGACGGTTGCTACGATATTTTTTCACTCGATAACTACCGCTTGCCTCGCTTTTGCGTTTCTCATTACCAGGTTTAGATTCTTGGTAACTGTCTCCAGCAAAGACACAACAAATGGATATACATATAAGCGTCAATATAGCTATTCGCAACATGTTCATGAGCTGTAAGCAAGCTGCTCTTTCAAAATAAACCTAAACCTGTGAACATTGATAAGTTCGGGAGCATTTTGACGTGTGTTTATTTCAAATCATGTCTTGTTTCGTAACGGACACTCCCAGGCCTGGGACACTCCTAAGTTACGAACCGATGTCTTGCTGTTTATCACGTAAAATTAACACCTCAGAGAAAAATCAAAACTAAATATTCTGAAAATTAAGTGGACACTTCTAAAAAGATCAGTAAAGTCAATAAAGCTCTTGTTATGTAGAGGGTGCCCGGCTTTGTATTCCTCAGTAGACAAGTTGAACTTGGGCGTTAAAATAATAGAGTTTTTTCTTCGTAACGTCCTGCCTGTCTAAAATTTTCAGCGACGAAACAGTTCTTTAAAGAAAATTGAAGCAATTGACAATGGAAGAAGTATACGGTTGATACCATATCCTTTTCAGATTTATTCTACTTTTTTTGGCCTTTTATAAATTGACCTGAGACGAAGCGTCCTCCTTCCTTTTTTCTTTAGAAGGCGCGAGAAAAAGGTTCCTTTTTTATAATCAGTCCTTTTTTGTAATCAGTCCCATAAAATCCATTCCATTCCTCAAGTTTTCATGGGATCATTTGCTGTCAACTTTGAGGATCACTTGCGGTCGAGGATCATTTGCGGTCCATTTTGGGGATCATTTGCGGTCTCGGGATCATTTGCGGTTGGGGATCATTTGCGGTACTGTACAGATAGCCTGTCACATCCGGTATCTCCCCAAGAAGGGGAATTATTCTGATTTTATTGATATTCTGAATTCAGAAGATGACTATACTGATACGCCCACCTTAATTAAAAGGGTAAAATTAACCAAAAATGTCGAAAAATAAATGCTTGCTTATTAGTTTCTACTTTTACGATTTATTTGTTTAATTCCTTTTTTTCTTTAGTCTGTTATCTAGTCCTTATCCATATTACGATTTTTTTAAATTTCATTTGTACATGGTAAACTTTTCTTACCTGTTAATAGCGTTATTCTTTGTTTTTATATTTTGCAGTCATTGTCCCGCCTCGAATAGCCTTGCTAGCTAAGGGCAATACTTCTGTATTTTTTTTTGTTTATTAATTAAGTGTTGTTGTTGTTGTTACGAACAGAAAAGTGGATGATTTATTGTCTTATAACATGTGACTATACGCGCGCGTTATCCTCGCGTGTACCGGTATAAAATGATTACAACACTCCCCGGGATTGATTGACCAAAGGTAAATCAACCATAAAAGTTCTGAAGCAAATAATAAATGTCCAACGTTCAACGCAACTGACAAAAGTGACGCACGAAACTCCTCAAAATTCAAGTTCAGTGTTCGTAAGTGTCCTCAAACAGGCCAGAAATTCGGATGCATACACTGCAAGTCAACTCTTAAGACAAAAAAAGACTTAAAACTGATACACTAAATGTACTTGAATGAAAAAGATCTCAAATAGTCAACGTTTTTAAGCATCTCTAAGAATGGTTCACTTCCACTGGTATGAGATGTTGAACTGCGCGTCTCAACACGGTCGGTCTCCTTTGCCCATCTGTGTTGAGAACTTGAATCTTTGCTGACCTCACAGCATTGTCCCTGCTCTTCAATAGCTCTGTGACTTTGGCCAGCTTCCACCAACAACGCGCAGATCCTTCTTCCCTGAAAACGACAATGTCTCCTACTCTAATGGATCGTTCGATAGCTCCAGTTCTGTTTCGGTGGTATTCACGCAACCCTAAAAGATGCTCTTCACGCCGTTGCTTGGTAAAACCTTCAAGCAAACTGAAATGGTATCTTGCTCTCTTTCTCAATGACTGGAACGTACTGATGACAATGCAGTGTCTCTGGTGTGGCATGGTGGCGATTTGGCGGCCATATATCAAGTCTGCAGGAGTGAGTGGGTATGAGAGTCCTTCTTCATCATCATAGATGTAGGTCAATGGCCTGTTGTTCAGAGAAGCTTCTATCTCTACGACTAAGGTGCGGAGTTCCTCAAACTTTAATAAAGATCGTCCAACAGATTTCCTTAAGCACTGTTTTACACTACGCACGAGTCTCTCCCAAAAACTACCCCACCAAGGGGCTGGTTCCACGATGAACTGCCAATCAACTTGTCTGTTCGCAAGATACCGCTTCACTTCGCTAGACCTTGAAATCTTCTTAACATCCACTGTTGCTGACTTAAAGGTTTTCGCATTGTCCGTCAACAACTATGCTGAAAGTCCTCTTCGGCTAACAAATCTTCGGACTGCTTGTAAGAGGGACTTAACTGTCAAACTCTCAGTTAACTCAAGGTGGACAGCGCGAGTTGATGTAAACAGGCAACGGTATGCCCTGCTGCGGTTCTCAGGTGATGTAGAATTGACATAGAGTGGTCCCGCAAAATCTATCCCTGTGTACGTGAAAGGCGGTCCCACATAAACACGATCAGTAGGCAAGTCAGGGGAGGAGGGATCAGTGAATGGTTTCCCCACATATCGTCTGCATATTGTGCATTTTCTGATAACTCTCTTTACGGCTTCTCTTCCCTTCAGAACCCAATGTGTTTCTCGTATACCATTCAATGTCTCTCTGACACCATTGTGGTGAACATGATCATGTCTCTCTCTGATAGCAATACTGGATTCTTGCTTTCTTCGGTTGTGTCTGCATTGTTGATCCGACCCTTACAGCGAATAATCTTGTCACCATCAAGATATAGGTTGAATTACTTCACGTGCTTGCTTCTCTCATAACCATGAAGAAGGTCCTGTCGCTCCGTACCAAATGAATGAGCTTGCACACCTCGGATCCATGTGACCTCTGCAAAGTTTAGATCTTCAGCCCTTAGATCCCTACTCTTGACTGTACCTCTGTCTCTCCTCAGTAACCGAATGAATTTCAACACGTAAGGAGTAACTCGCAGCAACTTCAACTTGACCCATATCTTTCAATGTCCATTATTTCTTCCAGATTGTCATACAGTGTTCTATTGAGCGCTGCGGTTGCTAGTGAATGTGTTATGGCAGCAGGTGTGTGCTTGACTAATTCTTCAGAAGTGATGTTAAGTGCTGATGTAGATGGTGTCTCGGGCCACAAATTTGAAGGCTCCCTTAAGAAGGTCGGTCCAACAACCATAATTAACTTTCAACAAGATC